TTAGTAAAACTGCTAACGTTACAGCAGCGGGAAAGATGAACGTGCATGAGTTATTTTATTTAATCTGTTATTTTAAAAATTTTTTGACCTAAAACATAGAGACTCGAATGTGACTGCATTCAAGCATTTCAGTGGGCTTAAACAGATCACCCTTTACAGCAGATTTAGTTCACAAACAACTGACAGCTTTGACCTAAATATGATTTTCAGTTACAATAATGAATCCTAAAATTCGACATTAGTAACTTACTTTTAACAGCATCAGACGCGCGCTCGCGCTCACAACATCTTCCGGTTTTATGGAATGTAGTGAAGTAAAAAGTACGATCTTATGCTTTGGAATGTAGTGAATTACAGATACTTGAAAAATTTACTTAAGTACAGTAATGAAGTAAAACTACTTCGTTACTGTCCACCACTGAATTCAAAGCAACACAAATTTCATTGTTTATCTCTACTTTTCAAAAAAATAAATAAATAAGGCTGATACATTATTATGCACATCAGTCCTCACACTCTGATGGGATCTGTGAGGTGGGATAAACAGAGCTGCAGAAGCTTATTGTCTAATGACACTCCAATGGTTGAACTTTAACCTTATATATAGCATGCAATATAGTAATGCACATTGTTGTATCTACGCTATGCCTGTCTAAAAGCTATTCCTTTTTTGAAATTGCCAACTCTTGAAACATTATTTGAGCTATCAAAAACTATTGCTTGCAATGCTTTTTAAGTTTTGGGTTCAGTGCAAGACAGCATCTGTGGCTTAATATAAATTATTACGGAAAAAGCAAAAATTACAGAATTCACTAAAATACACCCTGGGTTAAAATCCATTAAACATTATGTTGTTATGATACAAGTTAAAAAAGAATTGGCTACTGATTAAAATTATATCTAATCTTTTAATTTTGTCATGATGACCTGACATACTGTGACTAATTGTAAAGCACTGTTTACATGCAGCAAACGTCACGGACAGGATTTATGTTGGAAATACATAAGAAGTTCATCCAGTATTTCCAGTTCAAGAAATCATGATTTAAACAAGTTTACATTTAATTACCTCCAGTGCTTAAGTTGTTTTGAAACCGGAACATTCCTTTAAAGGTGACATATCATGAAAATCTGACTTTTCCTGGTTTTAAGTGCTATAATCAGGTCATAATAATGGCATCTACCAACCAAGGAAAAGTGAAAAAGATTAACCCAGTGACTTTGTTTTGGTAAGCCTTTTTCTGCAAGCGTCTGAAAAAAAGAGCGCGTCTGATTTCGCACCCTTGGTGATGTGGCAAAGGGATCTCATTATAATATTACCGCCCCTTAATCTGTAAGTTTCCACCCACGGTTATTGTGTTTTCGCAAGCGGCAATGGTGTACTAGTTCTGATGCCATGGTGAAAGTTTGAGCAAAACATACTAACTGTTCTGCCTTTGTCTGCACAGACGAGCACAGAACACTATTTAGATCTAAAATAAACATGCGATTTATTTCCCAGCAGTTTACCTTCACAGACATAACCGACTGTTTTTGTAACTCATGTGTGCTTTTAACGTAAACTTGTGTGTGAATGAGAACTTAGTTTAGTACTCACATGCTGTGACAGCCGCTTTCTGTCCGTGTGCTTCGGATGTGTGCACTCAGAAAACTGAATATCAGAAGTTTAAACTAATATGATTTAAACCGCATGATTTCAGCACGATAAACATGATAATCAGAACCAAAACAGATGTATTTAGCAGGTCCGATCTATAAAGGCTCAGCTCTATTCTGGAAAAGGGGGCGGGGAGCAGCAGCTCATTTGCATTTAAAGACACAGACCCAAAAAACTGCGTGTTTCTGCTTCCACTCAAAATATGCATTTTCAAAATGATATAATAAATGAGCTGTGCAGTATTTTGAGCTGAAACTTCACAGACACATTCTGGGAACACCCGAGACTTATATTATGTATTGTAAAAAGGGGCATAATATGTCTCCTTTAACTCAGCTATACAAACATTACTGACTCATGATAAACTGATTGGCAAACACAGATATTGGTGCTTATTGCCTATAATGCTCAGAGTAACAAAGCTTACCTATCTAAGAAGAACCACATCATTTTATTCTGGGGATTTTAAACATCAAAGTAAGTAAATCTGTCCATGAAAGTGATTTGGACACAATTGCACAAAAAAACACTGATGTATTGATGTGTAAGGCCTAAGTGAGCTATAAATGTCACAAGGTTTTAGCCTGCAGGTTTTTTTTAGCAGTTAAGATCAGCATTTGGCCAGTTAAAACAGGTGTTAGATCAACACTTTCATTGTAGTTCCCAGCATGAACTAAAACAATGACTCATGCCTTGTTGATCACATTAACTTTGTGTGTTTTTCCCCCACAACCCACAAATGTTTGCCACTGTGTCAGTGTGGCTGAGCGCGGAAGAGGTAATGAGTGTGTAGCTCTGAGTAGTGATTTGTTCGAGTGGTTAGTGTTTATGCGTGGATGTAAGCATTGCTAATAGGCAGGTTTGTTTTGTTTATTGATTGCAATACAGAAAGAGAGTGCATTTCTCACTATGCTGCAAAAAATGTTTACCTTTTAAATGGTGGTCATTTTAAGTACAGGGTGATGGACTAAAGGAGAAGTTCAGTACAGTGAGGGTTTGGGGCATTTATGAAGCACTTTTCAATCCTTGTAGAGTTATTATGGCTGGAGTTTGGGGAATTGGGCTCTCATAAAGTGTGAAAATCAGAGGTAGAGGTAATTTATGAATGCGCAGATAATGGTGCTCTCTCAGTAATAATACACAAATCAAACTGCCAGCTGTGTTCTCTCATTGAAATGTTATGGACACGCGCACACGCACACGCACACACACACACAACAGTCTCCTCATCTCAGCAGCGGTATCCACACCAACTTTTGATTGAAAATGTCCCATCATTTCATTCTTGTCGGATGCGAAAGGTCATCACTCTGATTCGCTGCATGATCCGAGATTTTTTTTTCTTAATTTCCTAGCCTATTCCTCGCTCCTCAGCAGCTCTTTCCAAAATGGTGGTCCTTATGACTTACCTCTTCTGTTTTGCCAGTACTTCCATTTTAGAACTTCACCCATTTTAAAAGCACAAAACCCAAAAAGCAATATCATTCTCAAAGGGATATTGAATTCAGATCTGCTGAGAATAAAAGAATGTCTTTCACACCGATGTTTCTGAAGGTTAGCTTCTATAGGTTGCCTGTCATATAAGTGGTCTGAAAAGTATCACTTATTTCTCTTAGAACAATAATTCACAAGGGGAAAAGAAGAAGGCATTAAACATCGTAATTGTTAGTCTCTGAAGTGAGCGTTGAAGTGTATTTTTCATTTCAGTATTCAGAAACGTTCTCAGTTTATGCAGAGAAAATTTACTGTAAGCTGTTGATGCCATTTAACTCATTCAAGTGTGAATACATTGCACTGGTGCTTTTAACATATTGTTCAGTTTGACTTGTCTGCTTATGTTTCAGTGAGGTGGGTTTGGGACAGTATAGCCATTAGCCAACTATGCTCAAAAGTTCCATACATATCAACATAGATAACATAGATAGTTGGTGTTTCCAGAATCCATAGTTGTATGTATGTACTGTATATATTTTATGAGATCAGGTTGGTCTGACCGAATGTGGACAGGGAGTGTGTTATAGAAAGTGTGCTTTAAAAAGTCATTATTTTTGCAATTCTGTTTCAGTGACTCTAGTGGCTCTGAAATTACACACTTCACCTTTAAGTATCATATATCATCGCTTGGTTGAGGAAATGCTGCATGTGCTGTGGACTGCAGTCATGCTCTATAATCAGAGAGCCAGTGTAACAACTTGACTTTATGGTTATAAATGTTGTAGTGTCCCTCTGCATGTGTGTTTGTGTGAGTGTTGTTATGTGTGCATGCCCTGATGGATAGACTAGATTGCAGAGTCGGTCCTCACATCCTGCACACCCCTCGCTCTAATCATAGCCTCCCTCTCTGACAAGATCACGGCTCTGACCACCAGCCCTTTGCAAAGCCACACAATAACACTCCAGCGAAAGCCTGGCCTCTTATCAGCCGGGTATTTCCCGATAGAGGACAGTGTGATGAAGAAAGATTCACTTCTTGAAGGAATGATGGGATAGAGAAGGATTGATGGCTAGTTGAGATCATATGTTTTTATTTTCTCTCATTGAGCCAGTGCTTTGAAGCATGCGAGGCTTTTACTGGAAAATGACATCTGCCGTCTGAATGTGAGCATCATTTTCAGAGGGTCTGTGATTAAAATGATGTTCATGTGAACACACATATGTAAATGGAATATGATTTGTCAATACCATATTGGTTACTGTAGACTAGAAATGTATTGGTATTAGTCTATATGTGTGTATGTATATAATTCTAATTTGCTGATTTGGTGCTCAACAAAAAAATCGAATTACATTTCAGTTGTGCTGCTTCATGTTTTTGTTGAAACCATGTTTCATGAAACCATTATTCAGGGTTCTTTAATGAATAGAAAGAACAGCATTGATTTAAAAAAGAAACCTTTTGTAACAACTTAAAAGTACTGTCACTTTTGATTAATTTAATTCATCCTTGCTTGAATAAAAGAGTTCATTTCTTTCAGGAAAAATCTTACTGAACTTTGAATGGTAGTTTATCATCCTATATTGAATATTACGTTTTGCATTTTTACATTTAGATTACCTTTTTGTTTTTTAATGCTCACTTACAGTAAACACAACTTATTTGAAACACTGTTAAATATAATATTTAGCTAATTTAAAATTAATATCCATTTTTCATCCTGTGTATTATAATTGTGTGGTTAGTTGTTGTGTGGTTATCTTTTCTCTGTATCTTAATGTGCAAAGCATTGCTTGAAAAGACAAAGTATTGCTGTTGAAATGGCATAAACCTCCGCCAAATGTGTTTGTGTGTAGCGCTATCACTATGACAGCTTGTTTTTTCATTTTGTCTCTCTTAGGGAGCTCCTGGGTCACGACTTCACCGAGACACACTATGAGAATGGCCTCCCTGTCACCCAAACCAGCAATCACATTGTAAGCAGGACTGAGACCTCTGTGTGTGTGTGTGTGTGTGTGTGTGTCTGTGTCTGTTTGTCTGTGTCTTTGTTCCTCTCGGTCTCTGCTTTTCTCAGTTCTCGTATTTGTTTCAGTGTGTTTTATTTACTTGACATGTAAAGCTTGAAACCAGCAATCACATTGTAAACAGGACTGAGACCTCTGTGTGTGTGTGTGTGTGTGTGTGTGTGTGTGTGCGCGTGTGTGCGTCTGTTTGTCTGTGTCTTTGTTCCTCTCTGTCTCTGCTTTTCTCAGTTCTCGTATTTGTTTCAGTGTGTTTTATTTACTTGACATGTAAAGCTTGATTTATATTTTACAAAGCAGAATGTTAAAAACCTAAATGTTCTATTACCATGCCAATTAAACACATTTGTTTAGTGTGATTAATTCTAGTTAAAAAAGCAGTAAAAAAATTGCCATAAATGCAAAATAGATTGCTGTGGACTGTGAACCAGTAATGGGCACAATGATATCGATATAAAAATAAAATTATATTGTAATGTCCATTCAATGTTTTCATCTGCTGCAATAATTGAATGTCTTAAAATTATCACTTTTCTCAAGTATTGGTGTGTGATTATTTGCAATTACTTGGATTATATCATGTAATGAGCCATGAACCATGTCATGAGCCATGAAAAAAAAAAAAGATTGATAGCCCTAATTTATAAATAATTTGTGCTTGCAAAACAAATCTGTCATATTTTATCCCAAAATAAAACTAAATAAGTTTTCTGCAAAGGGACCAGGACGACTGATCCGTGTAAACGAAAGAATGAATGGGGCCATGTATCGTGAGATTTTGAGTGAAAACCTCCTTCCATCAGCAAGGGCATTGAAGATGAAACGTGGCTGGGTCTTTCAGCATGACAATGATCCCAAACACACCGCCCGGGCAATGAAGGAGTGGCTTCGTAAGAAGCATTTCAAGGTCCTGGAGTGGCCTAGCCAGTCTCCAGATCTCAACCTCATAGAAAATCTTTGGAGGGAGTTGAAAATCCGTGTTGCCCAGCGGCAGCCCCAAAACATTACTGCTCTAGAGGAGATCTGGATGGAGGAATGGGCCAAAATACCAGCAACAGTGTGTGACAACCTTGTGAAGACTTACAGAAAACTTTTGACCTCTGTCATTGCCAACAAAGTGTATATAACAAAGTATTGAGATGAAATTTTGTTATTGACCAAATACTTATTTTCCACCATAATTTGCAAATAAATTCTTTAAAAATCCTACAATGTGATTTTCTGGATTTTTTTTCTCATTTTGTCTCTCATAGTTGAGGTATACCTATGATGAAAATTACAGGCCTCTCTCATCTTTTTAAGTGGGAGAACTTGCACAATTGGTGGCTGACTAAATACTTTTTTGCCCCACTGTAAATCAATGATGTCATAACAGTTGAACACATTGTCCCTCAAAATTTTCATTAGTGTAATGCATTTTACTTTTGTAATGTAATAATGAATACTCCTGGTACTTTTTTTAATATTTATTTTATTGCATAAAATGCTGCAACATAACTGCAATTTTTAGTTCAGTCAGCTATCAATGTTGTGCTATCTTTGTCTTTTGCACATGTGAGAACATGAGCAGGCCTATTAACGTACTTGAACACTCAAATCACAAATAAACAGCCTTATACAATCTAGCCAGTAAGTCTAATGCTGCCAGTAGGGATATTTTTTGTTATGAATAATTCTTTCCTTATTTTCAATTCCTGCAAAACATTCAGTTAATGGGCAAAGAAGACTCTGGAGGTTCCATTACGATACATTTTAGCTGCAGAAGGCAGATTTTATACAGATAATTTATTGCTAACTCTTGCAGAAAGTTGTCACTTATGTGCTTCCGTTGAATGTGGTTGAGGTGTGAAGTGCCGGGTTCAATCAGGGACGAGAGCGACTCGATATCAAAAAGTGTGACTCGGAATATAAGACACAATTGCTCGATTTTTCACACTGTCTGTTCGTTGCAAAACAGTCTTGTTTTGCTCCACGCATCCCTAAAATCCGACTTATTGATCAGCCAGAAAAGGATACAAAACCACAAGCGAATTTCTTCAGCCGTAAACTGCCTTTCCTGGCTGTTATGTTACTTGCAGTCCCCGCACAAGCTCTGAGCTTTGTAATTGCATTTCCATCACTTGACAAGGGTTGATGGGAGTGAAGTCACACCCCTGATTATTTTTGAGCCCTTTTAACAGCTTCCAGCTGCCCCCTTGAGTGAGCAGCACAGGATGGGCATACAGCTCACCATTGGGCGCTAACACACAAAGAGCTTTTGAAGGGAATGAGCAGTTCGCTTTAGTTACCGCAGAGATCACAGCACCCCTCTTGCTCCCTGTTGTGATAGACGGGGTAATTCAATCTAGGGAAAATCGCAGAGGATTTCTCCTTCTTTCTATCTTTCTTTCGACTACCAGCATCCAAAAAGGAAAATGTGACAGAAGGGACTGATCCCTAAGCCAGCTGGTTAAACCGCACATTATAATCAGGTTCGAATTTTTCCCCTTTAGTAACCACACACACACACACACACACACTCACAGAGGTTTAATTAGCGTTGTATTTATAACTTCATAAAAAAAGTCATTAAGCAAACCTTAGTCCTATCAAATCAAAGAAAATCAAATATTCATGAGTCCTACAGCGGGAAGATTAAACTGTCAGTGTGCAGGCTTCACATTATAGCAAATCAGTTTTATGTCTTAGTTCCAGTTATTGGAAATGAAAATATTCCCTATGATGGCCTGAAATGATGGTGTGGAATGGATCTGTGAATAAATGGTGCGCAGTTTTGATCTACTGACAACAAGAGGAAGCACTGACAGGAAGAAAAGGAAGTACTGCTGCTGATTTCAATCAAAACACACACACACTTAAATATATATATATATATATATAAAAAAAAGAAAGAAAGAAAAAAAAAATATATATATATATATATAAATAACACATCAGTCTGCATTGTGGAAAAATAATGGAGAGTATGTGATAACAATAATAATTTTAGACAAAATTAAACCCAGACCTTAAAAAACCCTCAAATGATAACAAAAAACAACAACAGAAACAGCTAAATGAATAAGAAATAGAAAAAACGGCAGTTAACAATTTAGTATTAGGGACCAATTCTCACTATTAAATAGTTGATTATTAGCATGCCTACTATTAACATGTTGGCTGTTTATTAGTAATTATAAAGCGCATATTCTGTATGACCATATTCTACAATGCCTTGCGAAAGTATTCATACCCCTTCATTTTTTTCACGTTTTGTTATATTGCTGCCTTATGCTAAACTGCTTTAAATTACTTTTTTCCCCCACATCAATCTACACTCCATACACCATAATGGTAGAGCAAAAAACTGTGTTTTAACATCTTCGCAAATGTATTAAAAATAAAAAACTTAAATGATTCCATTGCGTAAGTATTCATACCCTTATCTGGGACAGTTGAAATTTAGCTCAGAAGCATTCATATTGCTTGTAGATGTCACTACACTTCGAGTGAAGTTAACCTGTGGTAAATTCAATATGATCTGGAAAGGCACACACATCTTAATAAAAGGTCTAACAGCTGATAATGCATATCAGAGCAAAAACCAAGCCCTGAGCTCAAAAGAACTGCCTGTAGAGCTCAGAGAGACAGGTTTGTGTCAAGTTGTTTAGGAGTGTATCTCACAAAACAAATATCAGTCATATTTTCTCCCAAAGTAAAAAAATAAATAAAATTTGACACTATAAATCAATGATGACTTTTTGCATTGTGACATCGTCATGACAGTTAAACACATTTCCCCTCAAAAGTTTCATTACTGTAATGCATTTTACTTTAGCAATGTAAAAATGTATATGCTTGGTACTCAGATTTTTTTATATTCTACTTACTGCAATACAGTAATTTTTACTGCATAAAATACTGCAATATAACAGCAATGTTTAGTTCAGTTTTTACAGTCAGCTATCAATCTTGTGCTATCTCTGTCTTTCTCACATGTGAGAACATGAGAAGGCTTATTAATGTACTTGAACACTCAAATCACAAATAAACACCCTTATACAATGTAGCCAGTAAACAGTCTAATGCTGCCAGTAGGGATATTTTTGTCATGAATAATTCTTTCCTTATTTCCAATTCCTGCAAAACATTCAGTTAACGGGCAAAGAAGACTCAGGAGGTTCCATTACAATACATTTTAGCTGCAGAAGGCAGATTTTATACAGATAATTTATTGCTAACTCTTGCAGAAAGTTGTCACTTATGTGCTTCCGTTGAATGTGGTTGAGGTGTGAAGTGCCGGGTTCAATCAGGGACGAGAGCGACTCGATATCAAAAAGTGTGACTCGGAATATAAGACACAATTGCTCGATTTTTCACACTGTCTGTTCGTTGCAAAACAGTCTTGTTTTGCTCCACGCATCCCTAAAATCCGACTTATTGATCAGCCAGAAAAGGATACAAAACCACAAGCGAATTTCTTCAGCCGTAAACTGCCTTTCCTGGCTGTTATGTTACTTGCAGTCCCCGCACAAGCTCTGAGCTTTGTAATTGCATTTCCATCACTTGACAAGGGTTGATGGGAGTGAAGTCACACCCCTGATTATTTTTGAGCCCTTTTAACAGCTTCCAGCTGCCCCCTTGAGTGAGCAGCACAGGATGGGCATACAGCTCACCATTGGGCGCTAACACACAAAGAGCTTTTGAAGGGAATGAGCAGTTCGCTTTAGTTACCGCAGAGATCACAGCACCCCTCTTGCTCCCTGTTGTGATAGACGGGGTAATTCAATCTAGGGAAAATCGCAGAGGATTTCTCCTTCTTTCTATCTTTCTTTCGACTACCAGCATCCAAAAAGGAAAATGTGACAGAAGGGACTGATCCCTAAGCCAGCTGGTTAAACCGCACATTATAATCAGGTTCGAATTTTTCCCCTTTAGTAACCACACACACACACACACACACACACACACACACA